CGGAGCAACCCGCGGAGCAACCCGCGGAGTACCAGTGATACATTTAACCCGGGTTGGGTTGGGTTGACCATTGCTCCACTATAATATGAACCCAACCCAACCCATTATGTTCTATTAACAACCCTAACAGTATCACAAAGATTACCAGATGACTTAGTTGAAAAACAACAAGAATTTTTAAATTTTGTTCTATATCAATATATTCAACATAATTATTCTTTAAATTTAATTGGAAATATGAATGAAATGTTATTATCTTTTGATATACCTAGCAATATGACTGTAGAAGAAACTGGTGCTCGTACAGTTAGCATACATACAACAGGATATGAGAAATCTAATTTTACAGTTGTTCTTTGTTGTATGGAAGATGGTACAAAATTATCTCCAGTAATAATTTTTAAATTAGTAAATGTTTCACAACAAACATTTCCATCAGGAGTTATAATTCGTGCTAATCATGGAGGATATATGAATTCGGAACTTATATACAACAAGATTTATTGATTCACATTATACATGTTTCCAAAATTGATTTTAAATTTTTGAGATATTTTGACTTTTTGAGATTTATGCAGAATCTATTCTATATATAGAAGTAAAAAAAGTACCTAATTATGTGTATATTTAATCAAAGAATAAATCTGGTAATCAAAAAATTTCAAGTTTTAAGTAAAATAATTTTGTTTTCTATAAAAAACTATTTTGACTTTTTTTCCAAAATTATAATTTTGGGATTCCAAAATAATTTTGCATACAAGTATAATTCACATTCATTACTTATATTAGACTCATTTCATGATCATCTAACAGATTCAGTAAAACAAAGATTTGATGAAAAAAATACAAATTTAGTTATTATACCTGGTGGTTTAATGAGTAAATTGATATTTGTATAAACAAATTATTCAAAAATAAAATAAGAATTTATTTTAATTTAAAAAATAATTCAATTTATTAATATCTTATTTATTAAATTATTAATATTTTTTTAGTATTGACAATGTTATAATGATTAAATGGCAAAAGAAATTAAAAAACTCACACCAACTGAATGAATACAATGTTTCACATATAATTTAATAACTAAATGGATACAAATTTCATGAAAAAAGATTGATATTAATCTTATATGGTGATCATTTAAATGTTACAACATATCAAATTCATGAGATGGTACAGAAGACAAGTATATTTTTGATTATGAGTGGTTTGATGGAAAAAAGTCAGATGGTAGAGATTATGTATATGTATATAATAACTTGTTAAAATAATTCTGAAGAGAATAATAATGAAAATAATGAAAGTGAAATAATTGACTTAACTCCTGATGAATGTAATGAAAAGGTAAATACAAATGAAAGTGATAAAGAAAATAATATAGAATTAAATAATAGTAATAAAGAAAATAATATAAAAATAGATAATAGTAATAAAAAAAATAATGAAGAATTATATAATGGTGATGAAAAAAATAATATCAAAATAAACAATTATTATATATTTTAAATGTCATATAAAATATCTAGATATATTACATCCCACCAAAAGTTTACTCTATGAATTGTATCTGGATATTCTACTAGAAGGATATACTACTAGGGAGGGTATTATATATAGTACATTATGGTATATATTGTCAAATATTATGTGATCAAAATGAACAAAAAAAAACTTTGATTATTTTAATTATTTCTTTAACTAATCAAACTTATATTCAAATTATTCAAATTGATAATAAATATTTTTTTAATATCTTAATTCTATTTATTAATAATTTTAAAATAATAGATATAGAAAAAAATTTAATAATTAATTATTTAATTTATATTTTTATAAATTATCTATAATTATATATTTAAATATAAATGATGCTAATTTTCACCAGAAGAAAATTTCACTATAGGCAGAATTACATAATTCATGATCAATTTCCTAACTCTAACCCTATCAACATTAACTTAATTCTGTTCACCAGTTAATTTTTTCTCCAATTAAATATAGTTTTTTTCTTTAAATATTTTATTTTTTCTTGAATTTATATATTATTTCATATATTTTATATCTATAAATTAATAAAAATTTATACTAAATATTAAATCTAACTAATTCTAATTAATAAAAGAAAAAAATTTTAAAATAAATTATATGAATAAAAAAAAATATATATATAAATTAATTAAACTGTTAATTCTAACAAGAAATAGTACTAAATCAAAATTAATATAAATTAAATGATTTTAAAAATATAGAATAAATTATTTTAATAAAAAGCTAAAAATATTAAATATTATTTATACTACTATAATAGTCTATTTTTAATTTATTACTATAAAAAAATACTCTTCTAAGTAAAATTTCTCAAATATTGAATTTAATTAGATCTAAATAAAGGTAAAAAAAAAATAACTTTAACAAATATAATTGTAAATTTTTGTTATTTATTAATTAGTAACATGATGATCAAAATTGGGACTTACCTTATACTGTTTAAGACATAGAGTTGTTTGTACTAATTAAGATAAAAAACTTACATGTTTAATAAATTCTTTATTATTTGTAAGGTTTAAAACTTTTAAGGAAGAAAATAACTGTTATTTATATATTAAAAAGTACAGTAACACTAAATAAACCATTATTTATAGGACAAGCAATTCTTGATATTAGTAAAGTTATAATGTATAATGTTTAGTTTAAATATTTTAAAACTTGATATAAAAAAAAAATTTATATTGATAAAAACAGAAGACATTTATAAAAATATGAAAGAGATATTTTTGATCTTGAAAACTTTGGAAATTTATTTCTAGTAAAAGATAAAATTAAATTGAGCATCATAATATTCCTGGTTATATTTGCACGCAAAATTATTTTGGGATCTCAAAATTGTAATTTTGGAGAAAAAAGTTGAAATAGCTTTTTATAGAAGGTGAAATTATTTTACTTAAAACCCAAAATTTTTTGACTACCTAGATTTATTCTTTGATTAAAGATACATATAACTGAATACTTTTTTTACTTCCATATATAAAATAGATTTTGTATAAATCTCAAAAAGTCGAAATATCTCAAAAATTCAAAATTAATTTTGGAAATATGTATATTTCTAATAATAGTAGATAGATTTTTGAAATATTATTACAAACACAATTAATAAATAATTTGGAACTACCTAAATAGGATAATAATATAATAGTAGATTTAAGAATCTTGTTAGAGATTATAATATAAATAAAGTATTAAATACTATATATTATTTTAACTATTGTATCCCAATATGATAGTAGAATTAGTATTATAAAAACATATAGTATTTCTAATGTATTTTTATATTAATGTAAATCAACCTACTGGTTGAAAATTGATAAATAATACACATATCGGATACCCGATATGTGCATGGTACGTCCCTAATATCAGGCATATATCGGATACCCGATATATGTAGAAAATATTTTTTTACACTTATTGGGTACCCAATATATATATAAAATATTTTCTACATATATCGAGTACCCGATATATGCCTGATATTAGGGACATACCATACACATATCAGGTACCCAATATATGTATTATTTATCAATTTTCGACTAGTGAACCTTCAACTAAAACTTTTCTAGTTGATATGTCAATATATATCTAGGAGAAAATTGAAAAGAAAAATAAAACAAGTAAACAATATTTTAAAAAATTTAGTTCTTATTTTTAAAAGAGACCTAATAAGTGAACTTATATTCTATTAGTAATAAATATACTTGTAAAATTGATCCTAAATATTTATATATTTGCACATAAAAATATAAAAATTCAATTTGACATATTACATAATACAAATACATCTGTCAGAAAATGTTACTGTAATGGTACTTCACCATCAACTTATGAAGTATCATCAATATCAAATATGATTTATTATGAATTTTTACTATTCAAAGGAATCAATCTGCATCACCTACTTGAAAAGTTTCTAGTAGAAGGAACAAAAATAGTAATCGAGATAATGTAAATAATGTCATTAGGTACAGATCCACTAATGTAAATAATACAAATAAAGATATTGGCAATAATATAAATATTGTAGGTAAAAATTTAGATGAACTTTTATCTGGTTTAACAAATATTATTCTAGTTCGAAATATATTTGTATTACAAAATGACAATGATTTTAATATATCCAATGTCAAAGATAGTTAACTACTGGAATCTATAAATAAAAGAAGTTAGATTTTGTTTAGTTACTGTATTATTGCAAAACAAAAAATAAAACTCTATTACTTCATAGTTAAAATTGTTTTTATTAAATATTTACCTATTGAAATATATTTCGTAAAGAATAATTGATATATTATATTGTTTGCTAAATCACAATTAAATTATTTCCTTGATTCTATGTCAATTTACCTTTCAAATATTTTATAACTTGCAATTGAAAACCTGAATATCTTTATCTAAAACTGATACAATAATTTAGAACTATTTTTTACAAGTATTTTTTACTTAACCTTTTTTCAAAATGTTTTGTGATTTAACTAAAAAGTTTCAAAAACAATTTCAACTTTTAAAATTTCTAAAGAAACCTATAAAGGAGAATAGATAATATATGATTTTATTATAGAACTGTGATCCTTTACTTTAAATTCCACTTAGTATTAATTCATATAAATTACAGTTTACCTTTTAAGATTGGTTCCAATATATTGATAAAAAACAAATTTCTTAAAAGTTATAAATTATTTAAGTACAAGTTTAAATATAACAATAGTAATATTTTTATTATTAATATATGTACAAGTATATGAAGCTGTTATTATACTATTGCAAAGATATTTAAATGTTTCCAATGACAATGAAATTGTTAATCTACCAATACTCATTTTGAGTCAACCACATAAAAAAATTCAAGCTTACTTGATCTTTGACTTTTTATGAATTTTCTAATATCTTATATTCTTTTTATAGTTTATCCTTTATCAAATACAAATAAATTTAAGATTACATTAAATATTATAATATATTTGAATGAAGCATATATTCCAAGATCTCCCAATATTGAACTTGAACCTCTTTCAAGTAATATAATGGTACATTAAATTAGGTATATATTATTATTATCTATTTTTCTAATCTTATACTTTTGTAAAGAAATCCTCATACTAAAATCATATGTAAGGTAGTAGTTAATTAAAATGTCAGTGGATTGAATAATAAGTATATACTTTGAATAATTTAGTAATATATGAGATATACATTAGGAATAAAACTTTATAATTTATGAATCACATGAAATACATATGAAAAATTTAATCAATCAATAAAGATATGTATCTATTGACTGTTTATTATTTTATAGTTTCATAGTTGATATTCTAAAAACTTTTTAAATATTAGATTAAATTATGGAGACAGGGAATGCCAACTAGAAAAGTAATGTTAAATTGTTTGAAAATTCTATTTATTATTTTATTTTTCAATATTTACATATATATGTCTAAAAAATATTAGCA